AGTTACCCATGGATTCTTGGGCTGCTTTCAGTCTCCGGCCACTGTAACTAATGCCTCTATGAACATGGACATTCATGAACTTGCTTTCATTTATCCTGAGCCTACGTCCAGAATTGAAGCTGCAGGATCATATATGCCAGTTCTCTTGGTTGTATTTTGAGGAATCTTGTTCTTCCGTGGCTGCTACACTGTTTCACATTCCCAGAGCAGAGTCTCATACATCCAGACTTCTTCACACCCTGACATTTACTTTGCTGTTGTTTTTATTTAATAATAGCCATACTAATAGGAGTAGCCTAGTTTTGATTTGCATTTCCATGTTGACCAACAGTGAAAACTCTCTATTACTATCAGTGTTATTGCCTATGTGGGGGGCATGATGCATGTGTGTAGGGTGCACCTGCCATGGCCCACGTGTGCAGATCAGAGGACATTTTGTGAAGTCTGTTTTCCCCTTTTACTTTTATGTAAGTTTCTAGGGATTGAACTGAGGTCATGCGCATGTGTGACAATTGTTTTTTATCTATTGAGTCATCTCATTGGCACCAAAAAGCTCCTTTCGAGTATCTATTAGCCGCCTGCATATTTATCTGGAGAAACATTTATTCAAGTCCTTTGTCTATTGGGAATGAAGGATGGTGATGGTGATGGGGTTGAGTTGTAGGAGTTCTTTTCGACTAATATCACTTTGTAGGAGTGATATTAGTCCATTATCACTCAAATAACAAGAAAGCCTTCTGTTCTGTGGACATTTTACCCCTGACCATAGACTTTCATGCAGTGTTGTTTCTCAGATCTGATTTAGTTTGGGCTCTGATATCTGATTTGTCCGTGTTTTTCTTTTGTGGCCCGGGCTTCTTCATTGTGTAGTTTCAGTGTTTGCACAAGTCATGTCTCCCATAGTCTTGGACATTTGAACACTTGGTCCCCAGTTGGTGGAGTTGTTTGGGGGAGGTTTAGATTGTGCAGCCTTGAGGGAGGATGCATGTCACCAGGGGTGATCTTTGAGATAAAAAGGCCTCTCCTCCTTCTAGTTTGTTCTGCCTGCTTGATGCTTGTGGTTGAGAATGTGAACTCTCAGCTTCCTGCCCCAACTATCGTGCCCACCACCTGCTGCCATGCTGTTAGAGCTTTACAGGCTCTAACCCTCTGGAATCGTGTGCCCAAATAAACTCTTCCTTCTGTGTTGGTCATAGTGTTTTATCACAGCAACAGGAGTGAGTATGGCGGTGTTAGCTCCAGGGAGCCGTCTACAAATACAGTGTGAAGAAGCTTCTTCTGTTGTGTCCAAGAGTTTTGCAGCTTCCGGTTTAGGCTTTTGATCCTTTTTTGCGTTGTTATTCGTGATTCTGGATCTTCCACCTAATGAGAGGATGTGTTTGTTTCCACGTACTCTTCTCTTCTTTTCTGCCCCTCAAAAGTTTTATTCATAAAAATTGCATATCTTGCTGGGCAGTAGTGGCACACACCTTTGATCCCAGCATTTGGGACGAAGAGGCAGGCAGGATCTCTGTGAGTTCGAGACCAGCCTGGTCTACAAGAGCTAGTTCCAGGACAGCCTCCAAAGCCACAGAAAAACCCTGCCTGGAAAGCACCCCCAAAAATTGCTTATCTTGAAAGTTTATTATTTTTATTTCTCTTGATGTTATTATAAGCGGGCCCTTTCCCTAGAGCATGCCTTCATTTTACAATGAGAAAATATTAATTTCTACATTAATTTTTATCCAATCACATTAAATAATTCTTTTCATTGTCACAGCCATTTTGTTTTTGCTAACTGTGGTTTCTGTAGGCATAGGGAAGGGGTGGGGAGGATGATGAATGCTGCCAGCTCTGTCACTGGCAAGGCTATAGTTCTTGAATGACATATGACTTATAAGATTTCACACCTTAGCCACACACTCAGCCTGCCATTATTCAGAACACCCAGCTGAGCAAGAAGTGAACTGAAATAAAGAACTCC